CTATGGTTGCAAGGGACCTTAAAAATCGTCTAGTTCCAGCCCCCCCTGCCATGGACAGGGACACCTTCCACTAGACCAGGTTACTCAAAGCCCTGTCCAGCCTGGCCTTGAACACTTCCAGGGAGGGGGCAGCCACAGCCTCTCTGGGCAGAGATAAATAGTCATAAATTATCCTTAAAGTGTGAGATTCTTCATTGTTAGTAAACATCTCTATTATGTTTTTAGGCTGTTTTCTTCCAGCCATTTATTAACACGGTATTATTCATTTTAGTGCTCAGGGCCTTGTTTGAAAAAAAACAAATTAGACACAGATTTATTTAAAAAGAACATATCAAGGAGCATCTATATAAATAAATTCATATATAACGATTTAAAATAAATGCTTTTTTAAAGATAATTGACCTTTTCTACGGGAATTTAATTTCTATGGGAATTAAAGCATGCTCTTGAGAAAACTCAACTTTTTATGGAGTAAACAACAGCAGTATTTGGACAGACTGCCAAAACTACGCTATATTTAGCATGGAGCAAAAAGAACAAGCCCAGCACACACATGGTTTCCTTACATTTATTTCCCATTTCTACTTAACAAATATGTGATTATAGATCAATATTTATATAGCAACTTGTCTCAAAGGAGCTGCACAGACGAAATATCAAGTGCATCAGTGTGTACACATAATCTGGCTGATCTGACTCTAAAAATCAATTTTTAAACCAAAGCTTCACTGTGTGGACCTCACGCAACACATGAACGCTCTTGGTGGCCAGAGAAACATGAATGAGTGTGAGCAGCCAGGTTTCTGGAAATGAAGTAGTATTTCTCTTGCTCACTGAAGGCGTTTTCTGCAAACACTGTCATGGAAACAAATGAGTTTTTGTGGACTCAACCACTACAATCTAAATCTAAGTTTATAGCTAAATAGATATCCTGATGGAACAGTGGTAGACTCTTTTTTTCCTCCCAATTCCTCATTTTTCAAATCTCTCCCAGGAAAGAGCAGAAAGGAAAAGGCATGAGAGCCGTATGTAATCGACCAGGTCCCTTCTTGTGAGGGTAGTAACATGATGACTGTATTTTAAAATGTGGTGCTTGTTTGCAGTGCATTGTGAAAACTAAAGACATCACTGCATAAAGAAACCAGTATTTTTATAAATCCAACTGTGTTAACACAGGCTCTGATAGTCAAGCGGTGCTTGTCAACAAGGGTTTTTCATGCACATGTACACCTTTACTGGCACCATTATAGCACTGTTCTCTTCAGATTATTTCTCTTTAGCCCTATACTGTAACATCAATATTTCTAGGACCTGACAGGTAAGTTTTAAGCATTTTCACTTTTGCAGATCATTAACAGTTTTCTGGTAAAGGTACATCCTCTACTTAGGTTTTTTTGTCTAATGTGAATTGTCGAGATTTTCTTAGGCTGCAGACAAACTGGGTGTCAAGACCACTTGAGCCTGTTCAAGCAGCTTCCAACCTTTGGCTGTTTTCCCCTGCCTCTGCTCTGCACCCCCACATTTTGCCACTTGCAATACTTCTGCGAGTTGAACAGAATCGAAGAATCGGAGCTGGTTGGAAAATAGGGGAGAGGGGAGGTACTAGGGAAGGTCATTTTCCAGGAGCATCGATTCTGCAGTTCACCCTCCAGCTGCACAACCAACCATGCCAGCTGACTGCAGTGAAGGGTCAGGGATTGCAGGAGAGAGGAGGTGCACAGAGGCTGTCAAATAAAGCAGCACTGCCACCAGGGAAGTCCCTGTACCTTCTGCAGACCTCCCAGCAATAGTCCACTTAATGTGATGGGACAGTATTTTGGTATCTGTGATAGATAACATGCTTGGTGCTTACTTTGCAGAAGAGCACTCAACTCTTCCCCAAGCTGCATGGATTCCAGGAAACGACAGGGCAGTAAAACTCTGTTCCTGCTAGAAGGACAAATATTTTGAGCACAAATTGATGTCAGATTTAGCCATTTGGAAAGGCCTGGTTTTACAGCCATTCTTTAGAAAGGAGCTTGCTTCAAAGATGGCACAAACATATATAAATACTTTATTACTGGTAAAAATAGAGCCATGCAGTATTCACATTATTCAGCCACTGAATGTCACATTTCTTTCCTCAACCACCTGCTAGTACAGCTCAACCAAAAAAAAAAAAAGCTGCAAGTAACACCTGCACACAAAGCTTAAATACATTAACAGAACTTTTGACTTTTAGGAAGGCACCAACATCACTCTGTTAACCATGTTTTTGTTGTTGTGTATCTGCTTCTCATAGGTTGGAACAAAGAGCCATTTCCATTTCATTCTAGCAGTTCTCCAGATGTTTGCATAAGTGCAGAAAGAAGCAGTGAATTCTTAATTAGAACAAAACATATACACTCAACAGGACATGCTGAAATCATTAGCCTGCTAATACTGAAAAGCCCTAAGAAGTGTAACTTCCAGTGAGCATAAAATATTGATACTACCCCCAAAAAATCATTACTTCTTACTTTGCTTATGAAGGATTGTTAGTTCACTGACATAATAGCACCTTATCAGTCTATCTTGCAACAGTGGTCTACCTGCTTCAGAACAGACCATTTTAAGTATTTTACTGTTTGCACTATCCAAACATGTTACAACCGAAACAGGAAATGGAATGTATGGTGAAAAGACCTGAGAGAATGAATGATGAGGCACTCTCCACAGTCCTAAGAAACAGCAGTGCTAATAATACGAAGAAGTTACAGCCAGGCTATAAATGAAGAGTGATGTGTTGTAAGATATAATCTAAGACACACATTTTTTTCAGCAAATGGATTTATTGACATAATTGATTATAACCATGTACAGCATCTATGCATCTCCCATTGGAAGAATATCCAGTGATAGAGCTAATGTTAGTGTGATACACAGCTTTATTCAATAACCCCCACTGCATTTTTAACAGCAAACAGTGGTGTATTCCACAGTCAGTCATAAATGGACAGAAAGCACCCATGTGTTCAGAACAGAAATTTAACATTAACAAAAAATAAAACCTGATCCTAGATTCATTCGGCTTTAATTCTTCAGCATTACAAGGGTTACGAATTTTAACCTATACACTGACAAAGGAGTTTGGCCTCTGATATTCATGAAAACTACCCCCTGTCAAAATGAAATCCCAAGGACTTTTTGCTACTGACTTAAGCATCAATACTTTTTTTTCCTCCATTGAAAACAAAAAGATTAAGGCAAACAATCTCTACACTCTCTTCTTTCATCCCATTTAAATTTAAAGACTGAGCAAAACTATGTCAGAAACGCCAAGTCTTGTCTCTCCATTCAGTCACTAAACTCCAATTGAAGGTACCAGTTACTATGGTGTTTTTTGTAAACACTTGTTCATCTGAAAAAGAAAGGGGGGGGAGGGAATAAAGAAAGAACAAAACTCTAAAGCAAAACACAAAAAACCTCCCAGACCAACCAAATTTCTTGCAATTATGGTAATAAACAACTTGTAGTCACGAACACCCCGAGTCAGCAATGAATGCATGATACTGAGACAAGCATCTCCATAACCCGCTAACTTCCTTCAAGCCATTCAGTTCCACAAGAGTTCATCTGAAGTTGTACATTAAATTCAAAGGAGCAGAAGTACTATCACTGCTCTCAACAATTTACCAGACTCCATCTAAAACGTTTGCATTTAAAGTGTAGCCCCAGTTTGGACCTCTTTAGTTAGCTCGTTTCTAGACCACATTGAAAGAATTATTAATGTAAACTAAACCACCATATCTTGTAGTATCAGAACCACATTCTGGAAGTAATATTTAGGGAAGTAAAAGTCCCAAGAACGTATAGAGCAACTGACCATAAAATGATTAGCATTGCTCTAAAAACAAAAGCAAAATTCAAATTAAAAATAAACCCAACTCAAGCATCATATACTACTGCATAAGGGTTTAACTTTAGCATTGCTCACTCAGCTACACAAAACACAGGACCTAGATTAATATACAAAACATGTTATTTCACAGTGTGGTACATAAAGCTTCTAACTTTAGTAGGCTAAGGCTAGGAGAGAATTGCCTGTTAGGATAAAGACTGTTTCACATTCCTGAAATATTCTCACCTATTATTGTTTCTGAAGGAAGGCAATGATATTATTTATCCATCAACGGTTCACCTCTCCACCCATTTAGAAATGAAGATGGATTATATGAGTCAGTGATGTATTTACTGACCATCATGGACCCAGACAACTACAGCACACGTTAACTGTGTACAAGTACCAAGCAGTATTTATTCAAAACCAATTCAAAAATAGCCCATTTGTAAACATATTATAAAACTCTTGTTAGTTTTTCCTAGTGGTGTCAGCAATATATTCCTGTAAAACTAACCAGTTGCATTATTGTTTCTCGTTTACAAAAAGGTATGAAAACACTCGCGCACATTAAATGGCCTCACATTCATGTGGAGTTAAAACAGCACAGCCTTCAAACAGTCCAGAGTAAATCGTACATTTCCAGCCCTCCAGATAACTCACTGGTCACACACAGTTCAACAGTAACATTCAAAGATGACCCCGAGTCCAATTTGTGATTGAGAAGGGCCGGTGCCTTTGACAGGTCTGTTCAAAGCATCCTCACACAGGACCAGGCTGCTCCCTCCAACTCGCTGCAACTGCAGCCTGCGAAAATCCACTTGTAGAAAAGCACACTTAAAATTACGGCTCTGAGACCACATAAGCAGGAATCACCTGCTGCCTGCAGTGGCTCCCGCTGTTTTTCTCTCCTCATGACAAAAAATGGCTACCGTAAATCGAGGCTTTTGCCCGGGTCAGCGTCGATTTCTGAGAAAACGGTGCCATCCCCGCAGAGGTGACCCAGCAAGCCCGCCTCACCACAGCAGCAGCCCCAGCCTGCAGTGAGGGCGGCTGAACGCACCCACTGCGCTACAGCTCTCTACCTCGAGGCTGCGACCCAGCGGGGCCCAGGCCAGACCCTCACCGACCGTGAGCCACTTCTTGTCGCCGGCTCCTGGTGCGCCTGGCCGCCCGCCGCCGCCCGGGGCCCGCCGGGAGCGGTAGTTGGGCGGGCTCAGTCGGCGAACCGCTGCAGCAGGTGGTCGTCGCCGTGGCGTCCGCCGCCACCGCCGCTGCTGTCCATGAAGCGCTCGCAGGGGAACTCGATGAGGTCGGCCTCGCTGAGGGCGCAGGCGGCGCCGCGGGGCGACCGGTGCGACTGGAAGCCCGAGAAGTCGTTGGAGACGCCGGTGCCCATCGAGCGGAGGGGCCGGCGGGTGGAGTAGAGGTGCCGCACGTGGACGGGGGCCGCTTTCCGCCGCCGCCGCCCGAGCACCTTCTTCCTCAGCAGGCGGGAGGCCCAGGCGGCGAGCGCCGCGAAGAGTAGCAGCGCGTTCACCGCCAGCAGCACCAGGGTGAGGAGCTGCTGGTCGGGGCCCCGGGACCCGCCCGCCGCCGCCGCCCCGCTCTCGGGCAGGGTGACCAGCCCGGCGCAGTGGTCCCGCGGCGCCACCGGGCACACGCGGCCGCCGAGGATGCCCTCGACGCAGACGAGGTAGGGGGTGTCCGGGCGGAGCTCCCGCAGAGTGGCGGCGGGTTCCCCGCGCTCCGGCAGGTAGACGAAGCGCTGGAACTTGACGGCGGCGCCGAAGCGGTCGAACAGAAGGCGGAACCGCGCCGGTCCCAGCAGGCGGGGGCTGCGGTGCGGCCGCACGGCCCAGCGCACCGTCACCGAGGTGGAGCCCACCGTCTCCACCGACAGGTTGCAAAGGAACAGCTTGTTGAAGTCGCACGGGTCCGACACTAGCGGTGGGACCCCAGCAGCCGGCGCCGAGCGGAGCTTCCCTCCCCGCCGGGGCCACGCCGCGCTGGGCGGTGCCGGCCCGGACGCCGAGGGGCGGGCGGCCAGCGGCGGCGTAGGGCTGGCGGCCTCCGCCGCGGCCCTCGGCGGCGCCGCCGGGCCCTCGGGCGCCCCCAGCAGGCGAGCGGTGGAGGCGGACGGCGGCGGCCCCGGGGGCCCGCGGGGCAGTCCCTCGCCGCTGCTATTGCTGCCGAGCCCTTCGACAGACGGCGGCGGGGACGCGGCGGAGGGAGAGGCACCGTCGAGGCAGGAGCCGCCGTCCTGCGGCGGTGCGAGCTGAGCATCCTGCAGGTAGTCGAGGTACTTGCCGGCCAGGGCGGGCGGCAGGCGGCACTGCACGAAGACCGTCAGCAGGCGGCCCTGGGAGTGCCAAGCCCCCAGCCAGTGCTTGAGGCCGCGGAGGCGGCAGTCGCAGCTCCAGGCGTTTCCTTCCAGCTCCAGGCGGTAGAGAGCCGGGTTGGAGGCAAAGAGGTCGCCGGGGAGGGTGGTCAGCGCGTTGTCTCGCAGGCTGAGCTCCCGCAGGCGGCCGAGGTGGCCGAAGGTGGCAGGATGCAGGGAGGTCAACGCGTTGCGGCTCAGATCCAGCGCCTCCAGGCTGCTCAGCGGCTCCAGCAGGGCAGCGGGCAGGTGGCTCAGCAGGTTTCCCTCCAGGCGCAGCTCCTTCAGTGAGCCCAGGCCAGTGAAGGCATCGGGGGCCAGTGAAGCCAGGCGGTTGCCACTGAGCGAGAGCTTTGCCAAGCCGGGCAGGTGCTGGAAGAGCCCCCCTGTGAGCTGCTGCAGGCTGTTGCTGGCCAGCAGCAGAGTGTGGAGGGAGCGGAGCGGCCCGAAAATGTCTGGGTGGCGAAGGGAGCTCTGCTGGTTCCCCGAGAGGTCAAGGAAGCGCAGCTTAGCCAGGCCAGTGAAGGCACCGCGGCTCAGCCAGCGGATGCGGTTGGACTCCAGGTGCAAGTAGAGTAAGTTCGGCAGCCCTGAGAAAGTGGAGTCGCCCAGCGAGCCCAGCTCATTGCCATCCAGCCGCAGCTTGACAAGGCTGCTGAGGCCGGAGAAGGAGGCAGCGCTGAGGCGGCCGATCTCATTTGCGTTCACGTAGAGGATGCGCAGCTTAGCCAGGGTGCTGAGGGTTCCAGGGGCCAGAGCCGGCAGCAGGTTGTTGCCCAGGTAGAGTTCCTCCAGTCGATCCAGGCGCTCAAAGGCCTTGGGATGCAGCGAGCGGATCCGGTTGTACTGCAGGTCCAGGCGCTGGAGCCCTGCCAGGCGGTGGAAGTCGAAGGCAGAGATGTTGGCGATGAAGTTGCCCCCGAGGCTGTAGGTGAGGACATCCTGGGGCTCGGCAGCCTTGGGCACGGAGCGCAGGCCCCGGTTGGTGCAGAGGAGGTGCTGGTGCTGCTGGCAGTCGCATGGCTCGGGGCAGATGGACTCGGCCGCGGGCAGCAGCAGGAAGAACAAGGGGACGGAGCCCCAGAGCACCCGCGGCAGCAGCATCAGGCGGACCCAGCGCGGCGCCCCCATCCCGGGACGAGCCGTGGGCTGCTTCCCCAGCTGGCTTTGTGTTTCTCCGGCATCCCCCCCTCCTCCTCCGCGGCTGCTAATCGGCCCCTCCTCTGCTCCGCGCCGGGCTGAGCTCCGTGCCGGGCAGGCAGGCGCGGTGGCGGCAGGTCGCGGTGCCCGGCACCATGGGCTCGCCGGGGGCACGGAGCAGTGGGAGCACTGCAGCTGCCGCCGCCCCGTGCGGGCTGCGGTTCGGCGGTCGCGGGGCCGGTGGTACCGCGGGGGGCGGGCTGCGGAGCGGAGCGGCTGCCCGCTGCTCCGCCGGCTCTCCCAGGGGCGGAGGGGGCGGGCGGAGCGGGCAGGCGGAACGGTGGTGGGGAGGGAGCGGGCGGAGCGGGGAACAGGAGAAAGACGAGCTCCGAATCTTGCCGGGAAAACTCAGCGGAAATTCGTACTTCCCACACTGTGCCCTGGGGGACCGGAGGATCGGATGGAGCGGGGGAGAGGGAGGACGGCTCGGCGGGGGGGCGGGAGGGAGGAAGCCCGCGGCCGGTCCTGGCTCGATTTAGCCCCGGCAGCGAGCAGGGGCGCAAAGTGGGAAAGTAGGAATTGGAACCGGCTGTGACTGCCTCCCAGCCACATGGGCTGTAGACAGAGCTGCGCATCGGGAGGGGGAAGGGAGCACAAGTAGTTGTGCGTGTCCCGTCCACCCCCCCCCCCACCCCACCCCCCCCCCCCGTGTTTTGCTTGTGTTTAGAAACCTGTCAAAAGCAATAGTTACGGTTTACCATGGATGAAGGACTTGGTTTGGTTTTAATCAAACAGCAATCAGAGGACTAAGCCACCTCTAGCACATCAAAGACTGAACTTTCATTCTTTCTCCACACCATCCTGCCCAGTAGGTTACTGACAAAGCTGCCAGTGAAGATGCAGTAGGACATAGCTCCAGCTCCACGAGGGACTCACCAGGGTGATTTAGATGCTCTTTAGAAATAAATCCCATCTTAAAGATTATTTTTTCTCTCAACAGCACACAAATTCAGAATGAAAGGAAGGTGTTGGGAAGCATAATGTAAACAAAGTAGGCCTCATACCCATCCATTCAATGACTTGCCTTTCCTGTTAGCATTTGTCATTTTCCTAAGATGTCGCCGATGGGGTTAATAAGTGTCTAAGGGCAGGAGGAAATGCCTAGATAGGAAGTGTATATAAGGCTGTCACTGATGGTGAGAGAAAGAAGATAATGCCCAAAATGTCATGTTGCAAGTGTAATAAATACATTGGAAAGTGTGATATCACATGAAGTTGAATCCAGCTGCACACACTTTGCATGCATTGGCTGGACGAAAGCAGTGTACAAGCCATGCTCTTTTCTTTCATCAGAAGACAGAATTTAGATAGCTTTCATGGATGTTTTGTTTTTTAGTGGCAGTGTCAACATGAGCAGATAGCATGCCATGGTACTTTGTGCTGGGTCCCTGTTGTCTGATTTCATGAAAAGCTGTTAATTTGATCTAACTCTGATTTGGTCCTTTTTTTAGCAGTGGGGAGAATATGAAGTGTGCTCTGAGTCTGCTCTGGAGCATGAAGCACAGTGTTGTGCATGGAAGTGATTTGCCTGGAAAGCACACTGGCAGTCTGAAGAAATATTGAAGAGAAGGGATAAAGCTTGGCTCAGTCAAAGGCACATCACTGTGAGCCTCTTAATTCCTAGCTCTTGTAGTTAGCAGAGGCTAGGCCTTATGAAGAATGATTTTTCATAGTGCAAATTGCATTGTGCCTATGTGGGAAATCATATTTGCACCATCATAGGTAAGTCCTATGCACTATCTTGTCATTAAACAAGCATCCTTGTAGATTAACTTGATTTCAGATTGTGTCCTAAATTGTCACTGCTTTGTTTTCTGAGGGTGGAGAGAATTTGTCTGTTTCTTGAGTGAAGTGGATGGTTTGTGTTTTGATTATTTTTAACTGCTTTATTTCAAGCAGTACACACTTGATTAGTAAAGTATTCTTTTTCCTGAAACAAATCTGAGTAAGTTTCAGAGGAGGGACTTTTTACTGTTTTTCTTCTTTCCCCAGGTTACGAAAGAAGCCCATCCAGCATTCATTCATGATTTGAATGGCCATGGGTCATTCTAGACCTTTTAGCTCAGTATCCTCCTTATCAAATATATTTTCACTTACCAGCTTTTTCTTTTCAGAATCTATCACATCATGTCTAATATTCAGGACAAAGTAGTTTTTCACCTAACAAAACCTGTATGTTTCTTTGCTCATTCTCAAAGCCACTATAGTGCAAGGGAAGACATGCTCTCCAAGTCTTCTTTAATTCTGAGCAAAGCCCAATTGACTGGTTACTTTTTCCCTCAACAAATTTGCTTCACTGTGACATACATTAAATAGTGGAATTTAAGAAAACCATTCTGCATAATGGTATGCTTATTTTCTGTTCCTTTGGGGTTTTCTTTTGAAACATGCTCAAGCTTATAAGGGCAATTTATGAACTGTCCTTCCTGCAGGAGCACCATAGATCTTTTTCTAGTCACGTGTCACCGCAAATACTAAAGGTTTAAGTCAAATTGCATCTTAAGTGTTGCTTTTGATGTATGCTTTCTGACACTTAGCCAACATTATTATTTTCACTGGGTTTGGGGAATTCTAAGTGACAGGAATTTAATAAAAAAATTTTAGTAGTGCTTCTTAAGAAGAGAATCACACACTTGTTCTCACACTGGAAATATTGTATACTAGAAACAAAATAAATACAATGGGATTTTGGCTGATTTATGATTTTTTTTTTTAAATTCAAGTAGGAAGTATTTATTCAAAATACATTAGGAACACATCTGTTCAGATAAAAGATGCCACATTTGTTTTCCTGCTTTGGAATAGGAGTTTTCCAGCTGCAGTAGTTCTTGTTTCTTTACTGAAGCACGCAATAAACTTTTTAATGCATTATTGAGAAATAGTAATCTTCTTTTTTTTTTTTTTACCCCAAGTTGAAAAAACATAAATCCAACTGAGAAAGCATAAATCCAACTGCGAAAAACTGGAGGGCTGCACTGAAAAAATAGTCTGCTCTTAAAAGTTTTCTTAAAACACACAAGATTTGAAGTATGAGGATTTTCAAGGCCAAAGAGCAAAGAGTAAAACCAGAAATACTGTTTTTCAGCTGATACAAATCTATCCCTATGATGATTATGAGAGAACTGACCTTAAATAAGGTATTGTTTCATGGCTAAATAGTATCCATATGTTTGTTACACCTAAGACCAAATACCTCTGTGATTTTCTTTTTGTTGTTGTTTTTTCGAGAGATGTTATCTAGGAACTGGTCAGAGGTCTGGTGGTTGAAAGAGATTGAACAGTTATTTGTAGTCAGAACACGAAATGGAGTGAAAGAAGCATGCTCGGTGTAGCCTATCCCAGTGTATCCTGGGACTGTGGCAATATCCCCATGAGAAACTCCCTTTAAACAAAGCATGCTGGTTTTTTTTTCTCCTTTGAAATGGCGCAAAGAGTTCACCAATGTTATATAATTTGTTGGTTGCACCTACTGTGGTAACTAACATTTTAAACAAAACCTTTCCCTGATGCAGTGGTTTGTATTCACGTGTAATGAAATGTCGCTTGCCACATCCAGTTCTCCAGAAGTAAAGCATAACTCCCAGGCCAGCAGTTAATGTTACATGCCTGTTCTGCTCCACAGAATGAAAGTTACCAGATGTCTAATAGATATCTGAACCCATCACCCGTAGAGGTTTGTGGCCTATAAGTTTCTGCTGATTGCATGTATCTTTAAATCTTTTCAGAATTAAACATCTGAGTATAAAGCATTTATGGTTTTTGGAGATAGGATGCTAGTCTAGACATGCTTTTACCATTGTGTGCGTGATCCGTCAAGCAGTCAAAACCCACTGAATTTCACATAGGATAGGTTGTGCCTCTGAGGCTTCCTCTGGGCTGCTGGTTCCAGATTGATGATAGCAGTTTGTTCCTTTGTGCATATTAATTTAATGTCCAAGCAATTTCAGATCTGGTTTTTGTGTTTCCCTGTGTAGAGTATGTGAAATGAATTGTAGCTGTATCCACAGGTAACAATGTATTCACATGTTCTGTCTGCAAGTGAAAATCAGCTAGCTCAATCTATACAATTAAATGCAAATCAAGTAATGGATGTTGTTGCTGTAATACTAGTATTTCATAACAATAAATGGAGAGTTAGGTATCTGTATTCTTCTGCGTAGTGATCTCTGCAGTATGGATCACTTACAAATTAACTTTCATCAGTTAGGTTGGCTGAATTAACACTTTCAAAAGTCTAACCAATTTTTCAGCTGCCATGTTTTGCTTTATCCAACACTTATTTTCTGTTTGAGAAACTGCTTAAGGGAAGTACGTGCTTTTTGTGTAGTTCAGCATCTGTGATGGTAAGAAAGGAGAGAACCCTGCATGTGTCAGGGTAAGGGTAGTATAATTTATGTAAACCAAATGCTTATGTAGCTTATGCAGGGCCAATTAGCTGTTGCAGTGTCTGCAGTTCTTTTGCATGATTATCTGTTTATATACTGAATCTTTGCAGTATTGTTAGACCATTTTTTCCATAATGGGATAACAAATCAGGCAAGTGTTCTTGCAAATATTTTCTTCTTCTCTTCCTCCATAAAAGGATATGTGTACTTAATCTCTTTCATAATGGGTAATACTGTCTTGCCATACTTTTAGTGTGATAGATACTCTTTTCTATTCCTGTAGTTTGGAAAGTGTAGCAGAAAAACACTTAAACAAAATACCACTTGGACGAGGACTTCTATTACTAATTGGTAAAACACGTTCTGATAGAAATGCAGAAAAATAGAAAGAACTCACTACTGGATGCCATTGACTTAGAAAGGATCACTCAGTATCACTAGCTTCCCAACGGGATCTGGTTGCTCAGGGCTCTGTCAACTCTCCAAGGATGGAGGTAACACAGGGACTCCCATTAGGTAGCTGAAGACAGCAAAGCCGTCTTAAGGCTAAACAAATCCTTTTCTTTCAGCCACTCTTCATTCACTGATGTGCTTCAGCCTCATGGTTGGACTTGCTGGATTTGCAAGTATGGACTTGCTTCAGTATGTTAGTGCTAAAATCCACCTGCAAAAAACCCAGGGCCACTAAGATGATTAAGGGACTGGAGCTTCTGTCACATGAGGAAAGGCTGAGAAAGCTGTACTGTTCAGCCTGGAGATGAGAGGGCTCAGGGGGGTCTCATCAATGTATATTAATACCTGAGGGGAGGGTACAAAATGGAAAGAGCCAGGGTCTTTTCAGTGGTACCCAGTGACAGAACAAGAGGCAGTGAATATAAACTGAAACACAGGATGCTCTGTCTGAACATCAAGCAACACTTTCACTGTGAGGGTGGCTGAGGGCTGGCACAGATTGCCCTGCGAGGCTGTGGAGTCTCCATCATTGGAGATACTCTAAAGCCATTTGGACGCAGTGTCCCTGTCTCTGGAGCCTTCTCTTTCCCAGGCTGAACAAGCCTGACTCTCTTTGCCTGTCACTATAGGAGAGGTGCTCC